ATGACTGGCACGTGTGTTAGATATGGAAGAATCATTTTATGCACCACCAGGAGCAGAGACCTGTTTTGGACGTCGCACCCTATAATTTGAACCTGCACGGTAACTTGGCCTGAAAGAAGGTGGAATTAAATACATGTATGGACCCGTTACGATGATGAGCTTTTGACTCCCTATGGAAGACACAGTACCCTTGTTAAGTACGATAGACGCACAAGGTACGGTAGGATATGGACTTTTGGGGTGAAGTAATCTTGTAAGTCAAAGGGGCAAGACAAAGCTGTATCATAGCAAATTCGTACCACTTACTATTTCACTTGAGATAGCATATATGAAGGACACACAAGACTGGATTGGTTCACTACTTGATAAACACAATGTAACATTTCAGCTATTTTTTGTGCTTCATAATGTCCTACAGATTCTGAAATATCTAAAAAAAAATGCTCCCCAGAAGAAGAAAAAGAAAAAGAAAATGCCCCACTGAAATCAAAAGTAAGAAGAATCCAGTAACACACCTTCTCATGGTTCTGCTTCACTATTTGTAAAAATTGGTCAACTGCTTGGAATGCCTTTGATTGGACGTCACTGTTCCACAGAAAGGAGAGTAAAAATCTTACATAATTCCCCACAAAAAAAAAAAACAAAAAAAAACAAAACAAAAAATGGATATGCTATTCTGGTTTAATATAAACGACTGTAGAATACAAAACAAAGAACAAGGACCTAAAATTTAACAACTTAAAGAAAATAATTTAACAAATCCAGGGCAGGGGAGAAAATGAAAAGGAAAAGGAAAGATTTAGGAGTTAGGAAAAGTGATATACATCAAAGACTTTCACAAAAGAAAGTTTTACAGATGACAAGAGGAACACCTAGTGAAAATCAACCTAAATCAATTTTTCCTAGAGCCTCAAAATTGACAATATTCAGTCTTCATATGTACTTCTGCCTCTCATACTATGACCATGTTTGGTAGGGCTTATTTCTAGCTTATTTCAGTTTTTAGCTTAATTTAAGCTATTTTGATGTGTTTGGTTCAGCTTAACAATACAGCTTATAGCTTTTTGTAAGTCAAAAATCAACTTATTCTTTGAGTGGGGGAGGAGAAGCTTAATTTATAAGTAAAAAATCAGCTTATATTCACAGTTATAAGCTATAAGCTGTTAAGTTATAAGCTATAATCACTTTCCCACAGCTCTACCAAACGAGGCCTATATACACCCCCATACAGTAGTAGGGGCAACTTAACAACAGAACTTAGGTAACAGTGATTTCTAATTTGAAAGAGATGAGTGTACTTTCGTTTATTGTTAAACAATTGTATAAGACAAACATATGTAACCAAACCTCTTTTTCCCAACACAAAGTTACAATAAAACTTGTAACTGTTCCAAATATAAAGACCAGTTTAATGACCATAAGAAAATGTTATTTTTGTATTTTTAAACTAACTTTAACTGCCAAAATGTAGAACTATTCCTATGTTAAATCTTGCTATTTTTATGATTGTAGTGTTTTTCTACAATTCACCAACTGAAGTAAACTTTATGATGTAACCACCTAAAATTCCAACAGATAGAAGATACACGATACCAGGAGAAGGGATATCATTTTATTGTCAGGAACATGATGCCACAGAGACTCAGACCATGCCCTTCGAGGCATTTCTTATATATATATATATATAAAGATAGAATGTATTGGAAAAACAATGAAGGATGAAGTAAAAATGGCAATATAAATTATCAAAAGAAAAGATAACCTGTCAGGATCAATTGTAAGTACAACAATATTTGGAAGAATCCTGGTTGCTATCTCAGTGACATCATAATAGGAACTGGTGGCACATAAAGCCATAACACCTGCCACAATATAAATGTTCTTAATCAATATTGATATACATATCTATGCATGTATATGGAGAGAGAGAGAGAGAGAGAGAGAGAAATTCAGTCGAGGCAAGGATAATGGAGCCAGATAAATTAAAAACCCAAGGAGAGAAGAGTACCAAATAATCACCATTTAAGCAAAACTAATAATTTAAAAACACATGAGAAAAACAAAACAACTGATTGACCATTAAGCAATAAGCAACAGAAAAAATAATGAATGAAACCCAACAAAAGAACAACAATTCAGTGTTTAGGGCATCCACAAAAGCATTTACAACAGAAAACAAATAAAATAAGAAAAAACGAGAAATAAAGAAAAATTAGAGGCACAATAATAACTGATGCTCCTTATCCTAGTCGACTTTGCGCAAATTTCAAAGAAAGTGTCTTTGACAAATAAATTTACAGAAATGTCCTCCATCTTGCTTAAAAAAAATTGGGAATCAAAATTGTATTTAAAAATAAATATAAAGAAGGGTAATAAAGAAAGAGATGGTCAAAACTTTGAACTTTTCAAATTAGAACACAAAAAATGAGAGTTCCTAAAATGGGAAGTTGGAAACAAAATGGGATGGAGGGAGTATAAAACACACAACACCACATAACCATAGGCCCATAGCTTTAGCATGTCAAGCAAATTATACTGTAAGTCAGATACCATTTAATGAGGAAAAAAAAAAAAAAACTAGTTGGCTGTTACAAACCCCATCATTGAGGCAGCTGGCAATATTCCCAATCAATATAGTGGTATTTGTTCTAATAGCTGGCTCTTCATCAACCTGCATAACTTAGAAGTATGAAAAGAACAAACTACGAAACATAACAAATGAAAAAGTAGAAGAAAGAAATCATAATGCATCAAGTGAGTTGAATTATTACAAATAGCAATAACATTACAGTAAAAGAGAGAGCCTGTAAGTGTAATTGACAATCAATTTTAAATGCCTTACGATTGAATTAGCAAATGAATGATGAATACCTGTAGCTTAGAAAGATACTTCAATAGAGATCCTGAGAGAGTGCGTTGAGACAGCTACAATAACAAGTCAAACAAAAACAATATTTAGAAAGGACTTAGAAACCACAAATCATAAGCAGAATAACATGATCCAAGGATTCTGAAGATGGACAACCACAAGATGGCACAAAAAGAAAAATAATAATTTACTTACAAGATAAAAACATAATTATAACTAATTATGTACACAAATAATTAAAAGGGATACACTTTCATCACAATGAAACATACCCATATATTGTTATTACAGAAATACCCAACTCAGCAAAGCCTCAAATCGTAACAACTTGGAATGAGCTATCATAAGCCACACCCTTGACCAATCATAGGCCACTACATCTTTTCTCACTGCCTCAGCCAACAGTCCTTTGGGCATTTCTTTGGTTTTTTCTCAAAACATCAACCTCTATCAAATTCTCATCCTTATTCAGCTGTGTTTATCAAAATATGCTACAGTGCTTCAGGAAACTTTTCTTGTGCTCAATTGATGCTACCTTCACCCTCAGAATGCATTTGTTATACTTAGAAAATATGAGGAAGAAGAACTCCGAAAATATGAGGAAGAAGGAATATATTTCTGTTATATTCAAAACTTCTTATTTTACAAGACCAAATGACACTCCTTATATAGGAGATATTACAAACATCATTATAACCCATTATATGCCACTTACATATTATATATTACCACTATCTACCACTATCATATTATATACATGCCACTATCTACCACCAACACCACAATCATATTCTATACATGCCACTATCCTTCACCAACACCACTATCATATTATATACATGCCACCATCTTATTATATACATTAACACAAATTTCCAACACTCCCCCTCAAGCTGGTTTGAAGATATCTTCCATAGCCAGCTTGCTAGTCAGCTTATCAAATTGCTTCTTGTGTAGTCCCTTCGTTAGCACATCAGCTAATTGTTCACCTGTTGGAAGGTAGGTCATACAGATTATGCCAGCATTGATTTTCTCCTTGATAAAATGTTTATCCACTTCTATATGTTTTGTGCGATCATGTAGAACTGGATTATGAGCTATAGATATAGCTGCTTTGTTGTCACAATAGACCTTCATAGGTGTCGGGTGAGAAAGCTTTAATTCTTCAAGAATTCTTTTAATCCACATTACTTCACAGATTCCATGGGCAACAGCTCTGAACTCTGCTTCTGCACTACTTCTAGCTACCACATTCTGTTTTTTACTCCGCCATGTAACAGGTTCCCACCTACAAAGGAGCAGTATCCGGATGCTGATCTCCTGTCTGTAACACTTCTTGCCCAGTCTGCATCTGTGTATACTTCAACTTGAAGATGTCCATGTTTCTTGAACAGTAAGCCTCTCATAATAAAAACTCAATAGATATTATATATATTTTATAAAAATTTAATAATATATTATACACACACATATATATATGTAATATTAATCGGTCCGACATGACCCCGTAAACTGTCTTCTACATCGGTCCGACATGACCCCATAAACTGTCTTCTACATCGGTCTGACACCACCATACAGTGTCCTCTACATGGTTATGACACCCCTATACAGTGTCCTCTACAACGTTATGACACCACCATCCAGTGTTTTCACCAATGGTCTGACACGACCATACAGTGTCTCTTATCCTCTTTTATTTTTATGTATTTTCTTATTTTGTTTCTCTCTCCAAACTCAAGTTGGTTAGTTCCTATCCCCTTTGAGTTTGCGGGGGGCTGTTAAAACGTATCACCTACTTCACCCACTTAAACCTACTCCACTAAACCTAATCCACTACACCACTACCACCTCACCTACTCCACTAAACCTATCACCTACTTCACCCACTTAAACCTACTCCACTAAGCCTAACCCACTACACCACTACCACCTCCACTTCACCTACTCCTTACCTACTACACACTCACCCTCTTCTATATATAGGAATCATGAATCATTGTAATAGATATCAATATAAATCAATCAATAATACAATTCTCTATTTCTCTTTATACATTAAATTTCTACACCTACTAAAATAGACAACTTCCCAAACAAGGCCAAAATATGTTCATAAGCTGAAATAACAATTTTGCAATTTATAAGGACCAGTTGGCAAATGACTGGCATGTGTGTTAGATATGGAAGAATCATTTTATGCACCACCAGGAGCAGAGACCTGTTTTGGACGTCACACCCATATAATTTGAACCTGCACGGTAACTTGGCCTGAAAGAAGGTGGAATTAAATACATGTATGGACCCGTTATGATGATGAGCTTTTGACTCCCTATGGAAGACACAGTACCTTTGTTAAGTACGATAGACGCACAAGGTAATATGGACTTTTGGGGTGAAGTAATCTTGTAAGTCAAAGGGGCAAGACAAAGCTGTATCATAGCAAATTCGTACCACTTACTATTTCACTTGAGATAGCATATATGAAGGACACACAAGACTGGATTGGTTCACTACTTGATAAACACAATGTAACATTTCAGCTATTTTTTGTGCTTCATAATGTCCTACAGATTCTGAAATATCTAAAAAAAATACACCCCAGAAGAAGAAAAAGAAAAAAGAAAATGCCCCACTGAAATCAAAAGTAAGAAGAATCCAGTAACACACCTTCTCATGGTTCTGCTTCACTATTTGTAAAAATTGGTCAACTGCTTGGAATGCCTTTGATTGGACGTCACTGTTCCACAGAAAGGAGAGTAAAAATCTTACATAATTCCCCGCAAAAAAAAAAAGAAAAAAGAAAAAGAAAAAATGGATATGCTATTCTGGTTTAATATAAACGACTGTAGAATACAAAACAAAGAACAAGGACCTAAAATTTAACAACATAAAAAAAATAATTTAACAAATCCAGGGCAGGGGGGAAAATGAAAAGGAAAGATTTAGGAGTTAGGAAAAGTGATATACATCAAAGACTTTCACAAAAGAAAGTTTTACAGATGACAAGAGGAACACCTACTGAAAATCAACCTAAATCAATTTTTCCTAGAGCCTCAAAATTGACAATATTCAGTCTTCATATATACTTCTGCCTCTCATACTATGTACACCCCCATAGAGTAGTAGGGGCAACTTAACAACAGAACTTAGGTAACAGTGATTTCTAATTTGAAAGAGATGAGTGTACTTTCGTATATTGTTAAACAATTGCATAAGACAAACATATGTAACCAAACCTCTTTTTCCCAACACAAAGTTACAATAAAACTTGTAACTGTTCCAAATATAAAGACCAGTTTAATGACCATAAGAAAATGTTATTTTTGTATTTTTAAACTAACTTTAACTGCCAAAATGTAGAACTATTCCTATGTTAAATCTTGATATTTTTATGATTGTAGTGTTTTTCTACACTTCACCAACTGAAGTAAACTTTATGATGTAATCACCTAAAATTCCAACAGATAGAAGATACACGACACCAGGAGAAGGGATATCATTTTATTGTCAGGAACATGATGCCACAGAGACTCAGACCATGCCCTTCGAGGCGTTTCTTATATATATATATATATAAAGATAGAACGTATTGAAAAAACAATGAAGGATGAAGTAAAAATGGCAATATAAATTATCAAAAGAAAAGATAACCTGTCAGGATCAATTGTAAGTACAACAATATTTGGAAGAATCCTGGTTGCTATCTCAGTGACATCATAATAGGAACTGGTGGCACATAAAGCCATAACACCTGCCACAATATAAATGTTCTTAATCAATATTGATATACATATCTATGCATGTATATGGAGAGAGAGAGAGAGAGAGAGAGAGAGAGAAGAAATGTAAGGGTTCTTTGAAACAAACACATTAGTAAAGGCTAGCAGAGAAATAATCAGAGAAAACAATATGTCTAATTCTTACCTGCTCCTCGGGCAGGAGAGAATGTATCACGCAAAGCACGAACTGTGAATGCATTTATCAGAACTCTTTTCCGCGTCTGCAATTTAGTTTCAGATCCATTGGTTACACGTAATACGTGGACACGTCTAATCAAAATATGTTTATCAAATGAGCATCAAATGTTGAACGCAGTACTAACTGATGAATTCAATAATAACTGATGCTCCTTATCCTAGTCGACTTTGCGCAAATTTCAAAGAAAGTGTCTTTGACAAATAAATTTACAGAAATGTCCTCCATCTTGCTTAAAAAAAATTGGGAATCAAAATTGTATTTAAATATAAATATAAAGAAGGGTAATAAAGAAAGAGATGGTCAAAACTTTGAACTTTTCAAATTAGAACACAAAAAATGAGAGTTCCTAAAATGGGAAGTTGGAAACAAAATGGGATGGAGGGAGTATAAAACACACAACACCACATAACCATAGGCCCATAGCTTTAGCATGTCAAGCAAATTATACTGTAAGTCAGGATACCATTTAATGAGGAAAAAAAAAAAAAACTAGTTGGCTGTTACAAACCCCATCATTGAGGTAGCTGGCAATATTCCCAATCAGTATCGTGGTATTTGTTCTAATAGCTGGCTCTTCATCAACCTGCATAACTTACAAGTATGAAAAAGACAAACAACAAAACACAACAAATGAAAAAGTAGAAGAAAGAAATCATAATGCATCAAGTGAGTTGAATTATTACAAATAGCAATAACATTACAGTAAAAGAGAGAGCCTGTAAGTGTAATTGACAATCAATTTTAAATGCCTTACGATTGAATTAGCAAATGAATGATGAATACCTGTAGCTTAGAAAGATACTTCAATAGAGATCCTGAGAGAGTGCGTTGAGACAGCTACAATAACAAGTCAAACAAAAACAATATTTAGAAAGGACTTAGAAACCACAAATCATAAGCAGAATAACATGATCCAAGGATTCTGAAGATGGACAACCACAAGATGGCAAAAAAAGAAAAATAATAATATACTTACAAGATAAAAACATAATTATAACTAATTATGTACACGAATAATTAAAAGGGATACACTTTCATCACAATGAAACATACCCATTTATTGTTATTACAGAAATACCCAACTCAGCAAAGCCTCAAATCGTAACAACTTGGAATGAGCTATCATAAGCCACACCCTTGACCAAATCATAGGCCACTACATCTTTTCTCACTGCCTCAGCCAACAGTCCTTTGGGCATTTATTTGGTTTTTTCTCAAAACATCAACCTCTATCAAATTCTCATCCTTATTCAGCTGTGTTTATTAAAATATGCTACAGTGCTTCAGGAAACTTTTCTTGTGCTCAATTGATGCTACCTTCACCCTCAGAATGCATTTGTTATTCATTCCATATTTCCTTGCATTTCAACTGGTCCATCTCATCAGTCTCACTTCTGCTAATGTTACTTGAGAACATGCCTCTGGATTACCCTTAATTCAACATAGAGCGTAACTGATCTAAATAGCCAACTTCTTAAACTTCCAATTCCGACTTTCTTAATAACCTACGATCACATAATGCTCCAAGAAGCATTTCTCTACTGGACGACTGCTTTCATACTGTCATAGTTGACGGGATAATGCCTCTATAACCTCCCACTCTCTTGAGAAAATCAATTTATGATTGAGAATGAAACAAAGGAAGAGCACCATAGCACCTATTTAAGAATAGAGGTATCATAGAACCCTGCACAAACTACTGATGAAGCAATCAAATCTAGAAGTAGCTTCTTGGAATTATTTGCTTAAGGTGCTAAATTGTCTAAGTCTATCACCGGAACATCCTTCAAAAATTTGCACAAAATTTTGTTGCTATTGTTTTTAGTTTGTTTCAATTGTATATTTTTAGTTTATTTGTGAAATTGTGGATGCGGTTACGTTCATTCCTAGAGGGGGATGAATAGGTCAAACTCTTAATTCATTCAAATTACTAATTAAAAGTTACTAAGTGGATTATTTAAATCAATTTAGTTTGTCAATTTCAATATCTCATGATCACCAAGCTATTAGAAAAGCAGCCCAACAATGCATATTAAACTCTAGTCCCAAAAATTTAAGCTATTAGGAAAAGGATCCAACAATGCATATCAAGCTTTAGTCCCAAAAATTTAAGCTATAAGGAAAAGGTCCAATAATGCATATCAAGCTCTCCAACAAAATCCACAGAGCATCGTAGTAAATAAATTAAGATAAACAGTCTCCTTGGTTAAAAAACCGAAGGCCCCTGCCTGTCAAAATCCACTGGATCAAAACTTTAATCAAAATAATCAATTAAATGACTACCAAGTTTACAACCCAACCTTTGATGCATTAGCCTTGACATTTTCCCCTTCAAACTTGCAAGCACAAACTTCACTCACATGTGACTCTGACACTGGTTTAAACCAGATTTTGTCTACGTCTCCGCTCCTTTGAAGTTTCGAGCGCAATTAGCAATATGGAAGGATAACCAATGCAATAAGAGCGATCTGTGGTCCTGTTTATTTGGGCAATCTAAGGGGGGATTAGGGGGGATGGCCGGATAGAATATGATGTGGGGCCTACATTTTTTTTTTCGGTCTTGCATTGTCTTTGAACATCTTCACCCTTGAACACTTGGATACTCAATGCATACACCAAACCTAGACACTTGGCACACAATTTGTCTCCAGAAATTGATGACTTTTTAAATCCTATAATAATCTGTGTCCGATCCATTTCATATATCTCAAGGAGCTACACCTAACCTAGACACTTAGCACACATTTTGTTTACAGAAATTGACAACTCTTTAGCTACTATAACAATCTGTGTCTGATCCATTTCATATATCTCAAGGATTTCTGCTAGATCTAAAACTAGGTCAGACTTATGATATGTAAGACACGTATGAACACATAAAAATGCACTGCGAATTTCTAAAGTTTAAGAGACGATAGATTAATAGGTATAAATCTACATCGTTTTCCTATTATCATTAGATCCTAAGTTATCTTGTTCAAATTTGTAATGTGTTTCATGTGTGTCTAAGCAATGGATCCTTGTGTTCCCCAAGTATCCAAATCGTGTCCAAGCAATATGTTTGGACATGTGTCCGACGATTGTTGGTAAGTGTCTAACACATGACACCACCTTCTTAGAAGTGTATGTGTTTCTCAGAAGGCGGCATAATCAGCTTAGAAATCTTCTAGCCTTCACTTGAGCAAGATTGTAATTCAATGAAGGGATAAGCAAGGAAACAGAATCAACTTATAATTGAGGAAGAACTAATACAATAATAGTTGCTTCTGACTACCAATGCTAGCAATGGGATTTGAGTGGAAAGTTTTAACATTGTTTCCAAATGTAGAAGGTTAAGAAAACCCACACTTCAACACGACTAACCAGTTCTACTAGTCTCTTTATATCAACTGATTCTCACCACATAGACAATTTTTTCATCATTACGTTACATGCCAAAGACCATGAAAAAGGGTCCTGCTACTGCTACCAAAAGAATAAGACACACATACCTTAGGAGCCAGAACAAGCATGGATTTAAGTGTCATTTCGCGAAGAAAAGCAGATGTGTCGGAGAACCCAGTAGCAACATGAGGGTAAACCTAGTAAAAAGAACATACATTTTAGAATTTCAAACTCTATGGCGAAAAAGTAAAAGGTCAACAAAAGTTATGCTCCGAAGGGCCAAAGAGGAACAAACAAATTTTGCCAGAATGCTATGAAGATATTATAATAATTTAGTCCTGACTGCATACTTGCTCATCTACAATTTGTGCTGACAGTGATTTCCCATATTGATCAATATGCTGCAGGAGACCAACTCGAATAGACCGGTCATTGGAGGTGAAGAGTTTAACAATTGTTGGCAATACCTACAAATAAGAGCAAGGTATTCTAACAGATGAAATTAAATTGAAAAGTCATGTATTCTAGACAGATCATATTTTTAAAAAATGGTAATTACAAAAGACAACATATTCAACAAGAAACCCAGCAATAGGAATTAATTCAAAATGTAAACAATTTAAAAAGGACACCATAAGGCACTGGAAGACTATGACCTTGATACTAAATTCTTCTGGTGAAAGCCAAGAACCCATTTTCAACACTGCAGTCAAAGCAGGGGCAGTAGCTGAACCAAATTCTGGGGCAGAAGCTAATAAAGGAAGTAACTGTAGAGACAGGACAACAAACAATGATTTTGCATTGAAAACCATTGACAATAATACTGATGTTTGAGCATATCATATTATCAATCTAAAGAAACCTTTTTCAGAACAATTTGGCGAGGGAGCTGTTCTGCCAGATTTGGGAGTTTGCGGAAGAAAGTATCCTTTTCAACGCTGTCCTTCAAATTCAGAATTTCCATAAAATGTATGGTATCCACCAACTTATTTTGGAAATATTCTGCAGAAACATAGCTTGCTTCTTTCAGTAAAACACAGGAGAAAGTATGGGACAGAACAGATAATCATTGAAACAAGTTTACCAATGGCAATGAAATTAAAGGAAAGAAAAACAAAATTACCCCAAACACAAAGTGCAATGGAAAAGGCATATCAATTCAAACGTTGAATTTCAATGAGATAAATACATAACCAGAACAAACAACAGTAAGATTTAAATTGAAGATACCCAATCCAAAAGGTTTAATTGCCAACTATATTGCAACAAAAGCAAAGGAAACATGAACTATGCCACAGTTGACAGGCACAAAATTGATTGGTTAAAAAAGCCAAAGTGGGGGGCACCAAAAAGGGAAGGGAGGGGTAACTGACAATTGAATTCAAGAAACATTCTCTAAGGTAAAAATAAGCTGCAGTCATGGGCAATCAAATGAAGGCAAATTTTCCTATAGAAAATGCAATGCTATTTGAATTCCAAGAACAAGAAATCCTTCAGGCATTTACTTAAATAGCAAGAAGGAGAACTCACCACTATTTTCTATAAGCTTTGATGAGTTCAACCTGCGAGCAGGCGTGGAACTCAAAAGCCGCTGATAATCTGGAAGTAGAGACTGTGAGCCAAGAAAATACACAGATGGAAATGAAGATGAATCTTTCAAATGACTGGAAAGTAAAAGCAATCAAAGACAAACAGAAGTTTGTTAGCCACGGGCAAACACACATGCACATACACATCTGCATTAACTTGCTCAAACAATGACACTAATTTAATGAGTAAAGAAAGTGAAACTGAATAAAGAAAAAAGCATTTGGAGGGGTCAATACCTTGGGTATGGAAGCAGTGTTACGCAGCTCCTCAGTTTTACTCAACTTCATACCAGAAAAAAGCTCATAAATAAGACAGCCTAACATAAAAAAGAAAAATTAGATTGCAATAAAAATCCACATAAATCACTTCCCAAAAATAAAAAAGAATCTATACAAATTATACCTAAAGATAAAGAAACAAAAAGTGGTGAAATGCCCACGAAATCAATAAAGCCATAAACAACCCAACATAAAATACTAGGTTGATTGTTCTCCCATGTAAAAGTTTCATTTTTATTAGAGGCCTTTTTTTGCAAAATGGAAGATAATCCCAACTGCAAAGAAGCAACACATTACACATTAATCAAAATCTTAAAAAACGTGTGGGTACAAGAAAGGCCCACTTGCCCATGTTGCATGCCATGTCACTACCACGTCACCATCTCCAAGTGCTTGGGTCATCATATATCATCCTTGCGATGTGAGTAATGTGACACGATGACCAATTAAATGCTACAATGTGTCTTGCCACCCTTCTGTCCACAATTGAGCCATGCCAGACAAGGCTAATGACCGCGAATCACGGTGCTTACCTTGAGCATAGGTGCTTAAAGTGCCAATCTCCAAGAGGCACACCAAATACGCTCGTCCATGTATACTTGGTCTCACCCTCAAAAAGGTTTAGCAATTCTCCACTTGAGCACATCTTCACTTTTCTCAGGCTTTTACTCAATTGTTTTGAGGAACACTCCACTTGAGCGGGGCTCTCCAATGCCTCATAGCACTTTACCTCCAAAGGCACCATAATACTCCCACAACAGCTTAGATTGACAGTAGGGCCTAGGGAACCCTTAGAGTTGGTGCCACAGTAATGGACCGCTCAAGCGCTATCTTGTGGCCCACACACAGGACCTTTGGGGATCATGTGGCTTAGTGGCTAGAGTTAAGGGTTTGCAAAGGTACTTGTTCCATCGTCCCTTGAGGGACCTATAGGCTATACCTTAGAGAGAAGTTCACAATAATACAACTCCAAACCAAGATGACATGACCATGGCATACTTTGTACCCCTCCAGTGTGGTGAACTAGCCTCAATGGGCAGGCCCCCATAAATAATGGCCCATTGTCCTTCATCTCCAGGCAAGTCAGCATCATCTTCTGGGGACTCTCTCTCTTTCTCTGTGGTGCAGTGACACACAGGACCTTTGGGATCATGTGGCTCAGTGGCTAGAGTTAAGGGTTTGCCAAGGTACTTGTTCCATTGTCCCTTGAGGGACCTATAGGCTATACCTTAGAGAGAAGTTCACAATAATACAACTCCAAACCAAGATGACATGACCATGGCATACTTTGTACCCCTCCAGTGTGGTGAACTAGCCTCAATGGGCACGCCCCCATAAATAATGGCCCATTGTCTTTCATCTCCAGGCAAGTCAGCATCATCTTCTGGGGACTCTCTCTCTCTCTCTCTGGTGCAGTGCGAGCTCAGTGCTTAGCATACTTCCTCTCCTAGCCTATATACCCTAACCATCCACAAAAAGCAATAGTGAAGCATAATGCATATAAAAACTACAAGCATTCCGAATTTCCGATAAATTTTGAAAATACGAATGTTCTTTATTCATTAAAACTTTCCATTTAATTTTTTCCACACCAGAAATGAATCCAGTATGTGGTGACACACACAAGCCTCCAAAATAATCTTCAATGCACACCAGTACTAAACAGAAGTACTTTCTTAGCAAAGTTCAAGAAAAGTACGGAATCTGTATAGAAATTTATCAAATAGCGATTCCATGGAAGTACATACAAAGTAACATGCTCGGATCAAATGTCTCATTAATACATGGGCATTCAAGACTGTGTATCCTAATAGCTAGAACAAAAACAAAAAAAAAAGTACTGCGTCTAGCACTCATGCAACATGAAGAGATCATTTATCAATCCATTTTATTGCCAACTTGATGAAGATTAATTCAGTAGAATTGGTACCATTGAAAGGGCAATGGCACACTTACCCAAACCCCAAGAATCAATGGCCCAAGGTGGAGATTTTCTGATTGTTGCCCAATCAGACTTCAAAAACTCCATTGATTTGTATTCCGAAGCAACAAGCCATTCATATTGCTGTATGAAAAAAAATCAGTATGTGAGCAGCCAAACCTCTATGTGGCTAACAAATGGAAGGTGGTCGGTCATCCAGATAAGAATTCCATCATGAACCATGAAAAGCCCTGAGAAACTTGGCAAAAGAAAATCCTAATCAATCTGTTAATACTACAAACAAACTAGTAAGGAATAATTTTAGTATACATGTTCTGAGAAATATACAGAAAAAATTATTACAGAAAAGTCGGTGAAACATTTATCATCAGTAAAAATCAAGAACAGGAATAGCATAAGCAGTCTGCATAGCTTTTTAATTCAGCACAAATACAAAATGAGAAAGATTTAGTTAAAGATAAATTGTGGGCATGTTTCAACTGGGAGGATTATAATTTAATCAATGGTGTGAAAAAATCACTTGCCAAACTACATTTTCTTTAATGCTCTATTAATTCATATATTATTTTTTTTTTTGATTAATTCATAATTTTTTTTATCAATTATAACTGTTGCTTGGGCACAGAATTCATTAAAATAAAGATACATGTGCCAACATCAAGTTAAAAGGCAATGGCAAGCAACTGAAGCACATCCACAAAAGATACAGTACCAGCATTGATCCCATAGAAGCTTCATTATTTCCATCAAACTCAGACAGAACGTCAAAAGCATGCAGCTTCCAGTCCAAAGTTTGAGTAACAACAACACTAGCCAAGCAAACATTACCATGGACCTGTAGACCCAAAATGAATCATGAATCACAACATTGAGAGAGAGAGAGAAATTTTTTCCTTTTTTATTTTGTGGGAGTAGGGAAGAGGGTAAGAAAAAAGTAAATTAGGATTCATTGGAAAAAATAAATCAAAAAATAGAACAGAAGAAGAAAGTAAAAGCAGAACCAAAAAAAAATATATACACAAACAGAAGCGGTGCCCGTTTCCCCTATGGATGAGTAATATTGAAATAATACGTCTGGAACAGATCCAAATAGAAACTTCGCAACATGAACAAAAGCACAATTTGGTGCATGTTCCCAATGCTTTACCAATTCATAATCTGGTCACCGCTCCTATATTTCTTCTTTGGCTTGGGCACTATTGACAAGAGGAACAAAAGAATGAGCTCCCACTATTTTCTTAGCCTCTTATCTTTTTTCCCCAAAATGCTTTTCTACAGCCCACCACACTCACTCACTCCATCCACTCATTTCTTTGTCTTTGGACTTGGACTAATTGGGCTTCCACATTAGCTATCTCTTTACTCCCCGAGACCCCAATTGATCTCATACACTTCTTAGCCCAATTACACTTTCTACTGCCCATTTCCTTTCATAATTATTTTCGAAAAGGCCCAATCCATAACCCGTCTTAAGCATCATACCCAAACAAGAGCCTCCCACGTAACTTTGTTCCAAAGGCTTTTTTCCATGTGTTGCCCTTTGATGTGAGCTCCCACCCCTATAACTAATTGTATGCCACTTACCAAAACTATTCGAAAGCCCATTAGAGAAAGCTTTCTTAGCATCACGCGTGTGCAGTTAGCCCACTCCCCAAAGTCACCACTTGACCCCCAGTGACACAACTTCATGTGTGAACACCACGCAAAGCTATAGCTTGATTTCTTCACAGGTGTCGGCATAAGGATCACGTACCAGATGTCTGTCACCAGTGCCCGCCACACCCATTCCCGAGATCAACTTGCACCCCTTGCCTACGCCACTTTGTTGCAAGACCACCAAGCGACCTCCGGCTATAGTCTACAACAACTTCAATAGTCTTCCAACTCTTCTGAAACTTACACTCCTCCAGCTTCTCCAACCAGATAACTTCGCCAACCTTTGTCCATTCCTAAATTGTCCCCCAAAAATAATTCAGTCGACCCACACCTTGACCACCTTAACCTCCTAATAGAGCATCCAACTCTCTTAATCACCCCACCAAACACGAACTCATAAATTCTATCACACGTCACTTAAAGACTGAACCATCTCCTCATCACAAATTCCTTATTTGTTGCTATGTTAACTAGAACATGGATCGTATTGGTACATGGAACGAGATCGAGAACGTGATACATCCTGTTGGAGCATGTGTGAAGGCAGAGTCTCACATCAAATAAAGAGTAGAAGAGATAAGTCTTAATATATATCAGATGGGCTCTTCACTTATAGGCTTAAGCTTTTAAGTAGGTACGAGTTTCAAATCATGTATGTTGGGCTTTGATGTGGTGTCTGTGGACTATAGAGTTTCTCTCCAATGGATTGGACCGGTATTGCTGTGCGCTTGTGGGCTCCCCGATTCCCTAACAACTAGTATCAGAGTCGATGGCAGACGATCTATGGGCAGACTCTCCTGGAGCATTGATGTTGGTGGGTTTGGGCTGCACAAAAACTCTTGATGGAGCAAGAAAAATCCATGATAACTCTTGATGGAGCAAAGAAAATTCCTGATGCACATGGCAAGGTTAGACCGCGACAAGGTGGCTCACAATGCAGTATGGTGGCTCACAATGGAGTGTGTGCAGGTGGCCCAAGCTAGACTCGATGTTGGAGATTTAGATCAAGATTAAAGAGGAGTGTGTAATGATTTACAATGAACTTGTTGATGATAGAACAAGACTCGAGTGGGAGCATAGAGAGGCCCAATGTTTGGTTTACACATGAGGGGAGATTGTTGGAGCATGTATGAAGGTAGAGTCCCACATTGGATAGAGAATAAAAGAGAAGAGTCTTAATATACATTAGATAGACTCTCCACTTACAGGCTTAAGCTTTTAAGTGGGTATGAGTTCCAAATAATATATGTTGGGCCTTGATATGGCGTTTGTGGACTCTAGAGTTTCTCCCTATTGCTGTGTGCTTGTGGGCTCTCTAATTCCCTAACACACCCCATTCTCTAAAATGTGGTACGATTAGGGTAGGACTTGTTTAAATTGTGTGCTTGTAGGCTCTCTAATTCAATTGTGGGCATGTTTCAACTGGGAGGATTATAATTTAATCAATGGTGTGAAAAAATCACTTGCCAAACTATATTTTCTTTAATGCTCTATCAATTCATATATATATATATATATATATTTTTTGATTAATTCATAATTTTTTTTATCAATTATAACTGTTGCTTGGGCACAGAATTCATTAAAATAAAGATACATGTGCCAACATCAAGTTAAAAGGCAATGGCAAGCAACTGAAGCACATCCACAAAAGATACTGTACCAGCATTGATCCCATAGAAGCTTCATTATTTCCATCAAACTCAGACAGAACGTCAAAAGCATGCAGCTTCCAGTCCAAAGTTCGAGTAACAACAACACTAGCCAAGCAAACATTACCATGGACCTGTAGACCCAAAATGAATCATGAATCATGAATCACAACATTGAGAGAGAGAGAGAAATTTTTTCCTTTTTTATTTTGTGGGAGTGGGGAAGAGGGTAAGAAAAAAGTAAATTAGGATTCATTGGAAAAAATAAATCAAAAAATAGAACAGAAGAAGAAAGTAAAGCAGAACCAAAAAAATATATATACACAAACAGAAGCAGTGCCCGTTTCCCCTATGGATGCGTAATATTGAAATAATACATCTGGAACAGATCCAAATAGAAACTTCGCAACATGAACAAAAGCATAATTTGGTGCATGTTCCCAATGCTTTACCAATTCATAATCTGGTCACAATTCCAAACAGCAGTTTTCCCTCAACAATCATCAACATTCAGAACAGCTAGCATTGAATTTCAGAGAAACATTTCACACACATGTTTTTAATGGAAACATAAGACAAGTTTCCTCCTCTTTTCAACAAATGAATGAATCATTAGTACCCCCAACAACAACAAAAGACCATAGAATCACCATTGGAATAAGATCACTTTTTACTAATTTTTAACGCCAGCATATGTCCAGAAAACAAAAATAAAATGCATTGCATACTCTTTTTATATATAATAAGGCATTTTCCGCAAGTAGACCAGGACTAAAATAATACTAAAATGTTGTTAACAAGGCCTTATTTTACCCAAGGGATGGCCCAACTGAAATTATCTATATATTGTTAAAGTAAATAAAAATTATATTATAGAAAATGCCAGGAGGACCACCACTGTACAAAATAGAACAAGGAAGGAAACGATTATCTGAGACACAAAGCACAAGGACAACCTTCAACAGGCTCCAATACATCTCACCACTCTCCAATGCCCCAACCTTACGACTCCATTTCACTTCTTTTTTTTTTTCTTCGTACTCTTGCTCCTGCCATCGTTGCCAGATTTTCAACGAAACCAAGCCTCCATTTTGCTTCAAATTTTTTTAATTGCTTCACGAAAGCATCTTTCTCAAAATTTTGTCAAGGGAAACCTGACATATTTGCTCAGACTTTTGACCCTCTCCATAACCCACTCCAACACTTCTTCCTCCATTCCCTTTATAAGAACAATGGTAGGTTTTTCCACCATCATCACCACCAAATCTAATACAGTAGACCTACAAGAACTTTCCACACGATCAGTGGCTTCCTCTCTGACCAACAAACTCTTCTGTGGTAGGACCGTTGCTTGGGCTTAAGTCCATAACTTGAACAGAAATACCCTCATCTCTAATCAAGACCTACAATGTACTAGACCCATAAAACTACTTGGGCCTACACCTAAAAAAGAATCAATTGACTTTGTAGCATATGTCACCGCTCCTATATTTCTTCTTTGGCTTGGGCACTATTGACAAGAGGAACAAAAGAATGAGCTCCCACTATTTTCTTAGCCTCTTATCTTTTTTGCCCAAAATGCTTTTCTACAGCCCACCACACTTTCTCCATCCACTCATTTCTTTGTCTTTGGACTTGGACTAATTGGGCATCCACATTAGCTATCTCTTTACTCCCCGAGACCCCAATTGATCTCTTACACTTCTTACCCCAATTGATCTCTTCCCTTTCATAATTATTTTCGAAAAGGCCCAATCCATAACCCGTCTTAAGCATCATACCCAAACAAGAGCCTCCCACACAACTTCGTTCCAAAGGCTTTTTTCCACGTGTTGCCCTTTGATGTGAGCTCCCACCCCTATAACTAATCGTATGCCACTTACCAAGACTATTCGAAAGCTCATTAGAGAAAGCTTTCTTAGCATCATGCGTGTGCAGTTAGCCCACTCCCCAAAGTCACCACTTGACCCCCAGTAACACAACTTCATGTGTGAACACCACACAAAGCTTTAGCTTGATTTCTTCACTGGTGTCGGCATAAGGATCACGTACCAGATGTCTGTCACCAGTGCCCGCCACACCCATTCCCGAGATTAACTTGCACCCATTGCCTACGCCACTTTGTTGCAAGACCACCAAGCGACCTCCGGCTATAGTCCACAGCAACTTCAATAGTCTTCCAACTCTTTTGAAACTTACACTCCTCCAGCTTCTCCAACCAGATAACTTCGCCAACCTTTGTCCATTCCTAAATTGTCCCCAAAAAATAATTCGGTCGACCCACACCTTGACCACCTTAACCTCCTAACAAAGCATCCAACTCTCTTAATCACGCCACCAAACACGAACTCATAAATTCTATCACACGTCACTTAAAGAGTGAACCATCTCCTCATCACAAATTCCTTATTTGTTGCTATGTTAACTAGAACATGGATCGTATTGGTACATGGAACGAGATCGAGAACATGGTACACCCTATTGGAGCATGTGTGAAGGCAGAGTCTCACATCAAATAAAAAGTAAAAGAGATAAGTCTTAATATATATCAGATGGGCTCTTCACTTATAGGTTTAAGCTTTTAAGTAGGTACGAGTTTCAAATCATGTATGTTGGGCTTTGATGTGGTGTCTGTGTGTGGACTATAGAGTTTCTCTCCAATGGATTGGACCGGTATTGCTGTGCGCTTGTGGGCTCCCCGATTCCGTAACAACTAGTATCAGAGTCAATGGCAGATGATCTATGGGCAGACTCTCCTGGAGCATTGATGTTGGTGGGCTTGGGCTGCGCAAAAACTCTTGATGGAGCAAGAAAAATCCATGATAACTCTTGATGGAGCAAAGAAAATTCCTGATGCACATGGCAAGGTTAGACCGCGACAAGGTGGCTCACAATGGAGTGTGTGCAGGTGGCCCACTCTAGACTCAATGTTGGAGATTTAGATCAAGATTAAAGAGGAGTGTGTAATGATTTACAATGAACTTGTTGATGATAGAACAAGACTCGAGTGGGAGCATAGAGAGGCCCAATGTTTGGTTTACACATGAGGGGCGATTGTTGGAGCATGTATGAAGGTAGAGTCCTACATTGGATAAAGAATAAAAGAGAAGAGTCTTAATATACATCAGATGGACTCTCCACTTATAGGCTTAAGGTTTTAAGTGGGTATGAGTTCCAAATAATATATGTTGGGTCTTGATATGGCGTTTGTGGACTCCAGAGTTTCTCCCTATTGCTGTGTGCTTGTGGGCTCTCTAATTCCCTAACACACCCCATTCTCTAAAATGTGGTACGATTAGGGTAGGACTTGTTTAAATTACACTATTAGAATTTAAAGTATTTCTAGAGCAGTTTTCTATTAACAATTAGACATCAAATAAAATTACTTTTCTTTTTCAAATTAATCATGTCACAACACATTTTTATAAGCATTATGACTTTTTTTTTATGTTTTGTCATACCAAAACTTCATTCTCTTTAGATTTTTGTTTATTATATTTGATTTATTTTTCCTTCTAAGGTAACTTTCAAGGTTTATATTGGAAAATATTTTAGAGGTCACTTTGGATCGAAAAATTCACAGTTTTGGAATGAGAGTATACCACATTTCAGAACGTGCATTCCAAAACATAATCGCTATGATATTAGTGTTTTCTGGTAACATTGGTCTGTTGTGCTTATCAACTATTAGCGACTTCTGAGGCCATGTTGGGACCACTGATGCATGTACAAAACGTATTCAGCTAAGACACCCTCCTCCAGCCACCACCTGGGTTAAACTCTAGTAGCGTCACACATGAACTCTGAGGTGCAAACCTTCTCCCTTCTTTGTAATAGCAAGTTTTCTACTCCAAGAACCTCCAACAGCCCCCCCTCCCTTCAAAGCTCCTACACTCTAGCAACATGCTTCCAGACACCACCTAGTTTAAACTCCACTAGCACCATCACCACTTCTACCCACTGATCTCCATATACGAACTCCAAGATACAAAAATTATTCATCCTTTGTAAATGGCAAGTTTTCATATCCAAGAACCTTCCCACCCCGCTTTTTTTTGAAAGCTTCTACACTCCAGCAACCTTCTTACCCCTCTCAAACTCTCCAAAACCCCTCTACCCTGATGCCCCTTCAATGCCTCTTACATCTTCTTGTCTAGCCAACCAACTTCATACCACTGTATGTAGAGTGAGAGATCTTTGAACACATCTCCCTAGCAGCAGCAGCACCACCACCACTCAACTCCCATCTTCACCTTCTCTGGCAAGATCAAATGTCTTGAGCCCAAGTTGAATAACCCCACTCATCTTTCCTTCTCATAACTCAGCCAAGGGGAACAATACTTTCAGCATTTTTCTCCTAAAATTAGGAATACAGGGCCCAAGCATCATGTGATATATATATACACATATGTACATTTTTTTGGTAATGTTGAAAACACACATTATAATTTTTTCTACCTTCCAAAAAAAGATCCTTGATGGGCCTTGAACCCTAATCCTTTAACTTGGGGAAGTCTTTTCAATATCACAGGCTTGTGGTCCAAAACTCCCAATGATAATTGAGGATAATAAAATTACAAGCTAAAAAATAAAAAAGAAAGAAAGGACAGTACGTAGTAGTAGTCCCTGTCAATTGAGGGTGCTGAACGTCGTAGACTGGGTACAACAACTACGGCATTATTTGCACAGAGTGGCAGCCCTGAATCTCAAACCTACATTATCACACTTGAGTCTTGACAGCCTGAACTCTATAACCATTGCAGAAGAAATGGGCACTACTAAAATTTCAAGCCTTAATACAATTTTTAGTACTACACCTGTTTTTAAAATTCAAATATGAGATAGCAATTGATGACTAATCTAAAATTATAAAATATCAAGAAAACAAAAAATAGTTCAAGAAAAACAGTTCTAAATTTTTTAAAAAATAAATAAATAAAATAGCCCCAACACTGGGGATTGGCCAGTCGGTAACCAACCATAAAATCACTAACCTAAACTAGCACTAGGCCTATATCAACCAGTATATTACAAGAAGATTGGAAATTACACCTCACAGTGCCTAAAGCTCAAATGCACAAATTGATAATTGGTCTTAGTTATTTCCTCAAACTAGAGTGCATTGTGCAGATGTACATCAACTAATTAAATTATGAATTTGTGAACAACCAAATTTGTTTCTAACTGAAGCATTTGAAACTTTTATTCAATTGTGAAACCTGATTTAAAAATTTACTCAATACATAACAAAAATTGTGAACTAAAATTGAAAATACTTACAAGTTTACAATCGTTATTTAAGAAGCTCACAGCTTTAGTTATCTGGTTCAATCCCCATGCATAATACTCATCCCTGCCATCAAAGAATGAGATATGTTCAAAAGGCAAAAAATCTATGACTAATCTCCAAGAAAGGTAAATAAACTTCAACAAATAAAAGAACTATTTAATCTGAAAACAAAATGCACACACTTTTGAAGAGAATGTACACAAGTGCTGACTTGTTCAATTATTCTAAATCTACAGAACTGTATACATAAAATTTCTGAGGAAAGCGCCCAAAAGAAAATTATACTGTGTAAATGGGATCGAATTAGTTACATTACAAAACCACATGAAATACTAAGCGCTGACTTGTTCATTTATTCTAAATCTACAGAACTGTATACATAAAATATCTGAGGAAAGCACCCAAAAGAAAATTATACTGTGTAAATGGGATCGAAATAGTTACATTACAAAACCACATGAAATAAAACAATTAGTAAACACTATATAAAGGCTTTAATCAAGCGCATCGCTGATTTTGAAAAAAAAAAATTAAAGAAACAAGAAAATAAAATAAAATAATAAATCTCGTAGAATAGATTTATATACCTTTGTGTACCTTCTAATCCTAATTCCCTGATCTTTTCTGATAGTGGCATGACAGGCTCAGTGACAATATAGATAGTAACCTTTGCAGTAGAACCAACAAAAGTTTCAGCCTCCATACTGTGAAGGAATGATAAAATATTTGGATGCCTAACCTGAAAGGAGCAAGCAGAGTTTTATGCTGGTAGATGTGGAATCATGACAACTTCAATAGATAATTGACAAACCAATATATAGAGAGGCGTATCACATGTTAAATCACAATAAAAGTTGGGTACATCTAAATCTCAATATTGCTATTAAATCACCTCACCATTATTGAGGAGTATCACATGTTAAAAACAGTTTCCTCCACAACCATTAGACACATTGTTAATGTAAATTAGTTGACCAAACCAAACTAATTAAGGCTTGTGTTTCAATTGAGTGAGGTTACATGAGCCTTTTTTCAGTCATTCCGCTCTCAAAAGCTATATGCTTAGTTCAATTAAATAAATTCATTTTCTACAGGTATTTGTAGAACTTCTAATCCTAGCACGTACAGGTCATTCCACTCTTCCTTACCATTACATCTACAAGTCTTCATTGTACATGACCAAAATGTCATAGCAGGTTCTCTCTCAACTTATTTCAATTGGTGATACTCCAACCATTTCACCAGTATATTCATTTTGAAATATGTCGTTCTTAGTCTTATCACACATCTAAGCATCCTCATCTCAATTACACTCATTTTATGACATGTTTTAGTTGCCCAACAGTCGGACCAGTACAGTATCGTTGGCCTAATAGTTGTTTTATAAAATTTTCCATTCACTTTTGTTGGTATTCACCGATCACATAATATGTTAGATGTACACCTCTACTTGAGCCAACTTACTTTGACTATATGGATCATGATATGGAACTTCTAATCCTAATGGCAAAACTGATTATAGAACTTTAACCTCAATACTGATGAACTTTCAAGGGGCAACTCAAATGTTTGGTTATGCAACAGAAGCTTAAACACAAACATGGATTCTCAAGCACCATAAACAGACATATGAGCACAGTTAGGAGCAAACCCCATCACAAAATGGATTTACATCGGATCCAATTAGCATTTTCATCCTCGCCGTCATTATTAGATGCTAGAATCTGATGTTTCTCTTGTGCACTTCCTGAAATATTCCACCATCTGGCATAAGATGTTGAAATTGGAGATACAGATCTACAAAACAAAGAAATCTTTCACCAAAGATAAGGTAGGAAATATTGGCCAGCAGTGTTGATAATAATGAGCTCAGGTAGGTTCTCTTTCGTTTCTTTTATTTTTCTCTTTTATTTATTTATTTATTTTTTGGATAAGTAGGGTCAGGTAGGTTATCTTGCAACAACAATACAAACATTCTCTCAGTGACTCTAAAGAAAAATGACTATTGCATTCTTTATTGTGTTATAATAGATCCATGTAATATGTACATTCTACGGGAGTCAGAGAAAGTTAAAATCACTGCGGTCTGGTTCAGTGCTGAACACAGCAAACCACTTAAACAACCAAAAGGGAACAAAGCAAAACCAAAAGACCTAGGTCAAAACCAGACTCTCGAGATCTCACTAGTGCTCAGAATACAAAACATCAACTTCCTTTGATAAGAGAAAATCATCATGCAGTCTTGTAATTATTTTATTTTCTTCTTGTTCTTTTCTAAAATCAAGTTTGATATGAACTTCCCAAGAATGATTACTCCGAATACCCTAACATGTAATAAAATATTCAGCAAATGACAGCACATAGATTACTAAATATTAAGTGCAAGCCTATTTGAGTTGGAGAACACAAGAGTCAATTGATAAGTTTAAAATGCCGAGGAATAACCATTGATAGGTATCCTATATTTTCAATTTTATAGCCTTGATAACTTACCGTGCGGAGACGCTTGACACCATTACGACCAGCAGCTAAAAGTCCATCATTAGCATTACTTCCTGATAGAGAAAATATTGACACTGGAGACCCATCATCCTGAAGAAGCAACCAAATAATCAGAAGTGAATTTCAGTATCATTAGAAGCCTAAAACAATTCAGGTATATTTGAGTACTAAAATATCCTGGAATGTCACACTATCCTAGAAACTAAGATCCAAATTTGAACCTATGCATGTCAACTTGCCAGAAATAAACTGACTGAAGCTTAGTTTAGAAATATGGATCATTTGTGATTGAAATTGTACCATTGATGCCATTAAGTTCTTTTTTATTCAAAGAGAGAGTTTTCCTTTCCAACAGCAGATATGTAATGCATTTCATGTCTCTTTTTAAGAAGCAAATGTGATCTGAGATGTTGTAAGAGATTTTTTTCAAGGAATTCAGGGATTTTTTTTTTTGTTTTTTGGGTAAGTAAATTCAGGGATATTTTATCTTCTCATCATAAAATATGGCCGAATTCAGGGTTGCTTATTTGAGGGAGATGTTTGGTAAGGTGCTTCTTAGCTTATTTGTTAAGCGAGGCACACTCACACACACAATGAACTACAACAATTTTCAAACTTCCTCTCAAATAAAAGCAACAATGCCATGCATGTCCCTATTTCAATATTTCTTAGCAACCTTTGCCAAACATATTCACAACTTTTTTTTTCGCACTTATTTTATCAGCAACTCTAAATAAGCACCTTCAAATAACGTCAACAACCCCATTCTTTGAATAAGAGCATATTTGGATGTCCTGTGAACAAGTATTTGCCTTACTGGTTATAGAGATGTGCCATAGAGGAAAATAATTCACTGCAGCAACTGACAAGTATGGATATTTGACATGCTTTTGACAGGAATGTTATTATGTTAGTCCAACCACAGGAAAGCTATGGAGTGCTTATTAAAAGGCTATTATTTATTTTTATTTTTTGAGACATTATTAAAAGTCTATTATGTGCAGGATTATTTGGTAGGAAATGCTTCTTTTATGCTAAAGCTTCTACATTTCTGCAGAACTCTGTTGTTTAAAGAACTATAAGTGAAAGATGATGTCGTGAGCCAGACAATTCATTCACCATTCAACTTATGAGTTTTGAAAAACCATGAGCCATAATAAAGTAAAAGAAAACTTAACTTCCACTTCGTAATACACAGGTGTGTTCAGAAACAAGAATACTGATAATTACATGATCTTTTTATGTACTTTTGTTAGGAAAAATGCCTACAGTGTTGGGAGTTTCTCTAATACATGGATTGGGTGTCTTCAAAAACAAAAATACTGATAATTACATGACACATATATATATTCACGTACAATGAAATTGGAGAGACAGAAAAAAACAGATAGAGAAAGAAGCAGAGAGATAATGGTGAACTTTTATTGAATTCACTAGGTTAAAGAAAGGAGTTTCGTCCAGCAACTCTCTCCCTGGCAAGAAAAATCCAATAAGTAACAAGCAGATAAACCTGTCTCCCTAAAAAAGTAATAACAATAGAGACTAATCAATGGGGAAAATTGCATCTCATGAAAAAGTTGAAGATAAGACAAATACACCAAAAGTCACTCTAGAATGGCCATTTACCATGCACTCTACATTTACATGATGAAATGTTTTGGCCAAAAAGAGGATTCGACAAAAGACTCAGCTAGAGGGTGTGAATCCTCAAAATTATCAATTTAGAAAAGCAAATGTTTTATTACTTTTTTGAAGTCACGCAAGTTATACTCTTCAACTACATGCATGCACCGTTAAGCCCCAATCCGGAAATTAAACTAAGATATCCATTGTGGTTCTCGTAACTATAACTAGATCTTGTAGATCAACAACAAAAACAAGATGTTAAATTTTCAAGGCTTATTAGTACCTGTAAACTCAATTTCACAATACAGGTGTAAAGAAAAGCAAACTCAGGCAGCTTCCAACACCGGGAATTATTCAGTAGCTAAAAAACCATGTGTCATTACTGATGTAGTGTTCCAAACCAATTACGGCTGGGACATGCTACCTCACACTTGCAAGTGTGTTGTGTTGCAGTGTCTTATTTGCCAGAGTAACACGTAGATGATACCACGCTATGAAGCACGTGTACAAGTATGGATACGGGTATTATTAGTACAATACGAACATGTTGATACGGTAGAATCTAAAATAAGTAAGATACAGATACGGTTGGGTATGTTTGTAAAATGATATTTATTTTTAATTTAGAGTAATGTAAAAATTAGTTAACCAATTTAGTTTTTACGATCCAACCTATAATTAACATTTAATGTCAAAAGTAAAGATATAAAATTAAATTAAATGTCATTATATTAAAAAACTTACAAACCATGACTAAACTTTAAAATAATGTTAAACATAATAACAATAACACGTAAAGAATTCCAAAAAAACTAATTTTACCCCTGTATTAGAAGAAAATACTACTTCGATACAATTTGGACATATGCTAGGTACAACCGCAATAAAGGAAATATTAAAAACAAAATCTTGATACATATTTGGTGTACCCGGTACTATGCAAAAGAAACCTATGAAGTACCATTACACAGTAAATAGGATACTTTTGTTTGGTTTTACAGAAAAATGAAATTTTTTATTTTCTATATTTTTTTGTTTTCATTGAATTTTTTTTAATATTCTAAGAAAAAATTTTAATTTTTAGATATAGCTAACATGAATACACTTAAAAAATATAATACCAAACCAAACCAAACCTTAAGTCCCATCAAATGGGGTCGGCTACATGAATCCTTCTTCTCCGCGCGGCCCTATCAAAGGCCATTTCATTAGTCAAATTAAGTAGATTCATATCTCTATTTAAAACGCTAGTCAACGTTAATTATGAAAGTCTATTCCTATTTATAGGAAAAGATTTTTACAGAGAACCTACAAAATTCTATGTGGGATTCAATCAAATTATTTGAAACATATTGATTGGAGGGAGAGTTGAAAATTTCATTTCCCTCCAAAATTAAATCTAACATTCAATCAATTTATTTGGAGGGAATGTTTAAAAAATTTAATTTCTTTGAAATAAGTGACTCTTTTTTTTACCAATTATGACTTTATTAAATATTATTAATAAATATTATGCAACAATTTTTATTTTTATTTGATTATTTATATATATTTTTATTTATTTATAATTTATAATTATATTTTTTAATTATATAATATTAATTATGACGTCACGGTTCGACCGCTTTGACCCGACGGTTGAACCGGTGACCCGTCCACCCGGTCCCTTTTCCGGTTCGCTCACCGGTCCGGTTTTGAAAACATTGACTATAACTAGATCTTGTAGATCAACAACAAAAACAAGATGTTAAATTTCCAAGGCTTATTAGTACCTGTAAACTCAATTTCACAATGCAGGTGTAAAGAAAAGCAAATTCAGGCAGCTTCCAACACCGGGAATTATTCAGTAGTCCTAAAATACCATGTGTCATTACTTATGTAGTGTTCCAAACCAATTACGGCTGGGACATGCTACCTCACACTTGCAAGAGTGTTGTGTTGCAGCGTCTTATTTGCCAGAGTAACACGTAGATGATACTACGCTATGAAGCACGTGTACAAGTATGGATACGGGTATTATTAGTACAATACGAACATGTTGATACGGTAAAATCTAAAATAAGTAAGATACAGATACGGTTGGGTATGTTTGTAAAATGATATTTATTTTTAATTTAGAGTAATGTAAAAATTAGTTAAACAATTTAGTTTTTTACGATCCAACCTATAATTAACATTTAATGTCAAAAGTAAAGATATAAAATTATATTAAATGTCATTATATTAAAAAACTTACAAACCATGACTAAACTTTAAAATAATGTTAAACATAATAACAATAACATGTAAAGAATTCCAATAAAACTAATTTTACCCCTGTATTAGAAGAAAATACTACTTCGATACAATTTTGATATGTGCTAGGTACATCCGCAATAAAGGAAATATTAAAAACAAAATCTTGATACATATTTTGTGTACCCGGTACTATGCAAAAGAAACCTATGAAGTACCATTACACAGTTAATAGGATACTTTTGTTTGGTTTTACAGAAAAATGAAATTTTTTATTTTCTATATTTTTTTGTTTTCATTGAATTTTTTTTAATATTCTAAGAATTTTTTTTAATTTTTAGATATACCTAACATAAATACATTAAAAAATATAATATTTGTGAAAAAAATCATTAGAAAATTCACTAAATACCATACATATAAAATATATATATATATATATAAATTCAGTACATTTTTTATATTCTTGTATATTTATTGATTTTTTTAAATATATTTTTTATAAATATTTTACTTTTTAAATATATCTAATTAACATGGATCTAAAAAACTAAAAAAAAAAATTAATTAAAATTTAAAAAATATTCACTAAAAAAAAACAAAAACAAAAACAAAATAAATAATTTCTAGAAAATTAAATCCAAAAAATTAAAACGTGTAATTTTTCTTCGAGCACACACTTGATTTTCATTCATGAATTACGCGGTAGATTGGAGTTACAAGGCAGTAATTATGCAGCAATCTACCGCGCTTTCCAGCAGCACTCCCAGCAGCACTCCAAAACGACGTCGTTTTGGAGTGAAAAAACGACGTCGTTTTGTTTAGTTGGTTTTATTTTTTTTTGGTTCCGAAAAATTCGAATTTCCCGCCTGATTGACTTCATCTTCGTCCCTATCTCCTCTGTTTTGCCCTAACAAACAACAAACCACGCAGCTGGATAGAGAGAGAGAAGAGAGGCGCTGGTGCGAAGACGGAGAACGATGGTGGACGGAGGCGACGGTAATGGAGAGAGGTTGGCGGAGGGACGCGAGTCCGGCTGTGACGAGGTATATTTCAGTCTCTGTATTATGTATATATGTATATTTCAGTCTCTATATTTACATTTTGTTTGGATAATGAATGTATACATTACAAATATGTCAAAGATGACCCCCCTAATCCAAAGATTGAGGCAGTTTCAGGTTGTTTCTTCTTCAAATGGGTAATTCTATTCTCTATTCTATTGCCAGATTCTAAAACAGAGTGCACTGTGCTCTAAACTCAGCCAAAAATGCACTGACAATAGAACCCAAAAACCACCGCATTTAATTTTGTAACGGTGAAGTCGTCGTCCCTTCTTTGTCCCAATTTAATACTCTCTCTCTCGGTCTCTCTCTCTCTCTCTGGAGTCTTGCTTTCTTTCTCAGTTTGAAAACATAATACAAATGTGAAAACATAATATAATTAAGAGATTAAAGTGGAAATTTTGTTTTACAATGATCAAATTGAAAAACAATCCATACTTTAAAGGGGAAAATTGTAAATTATCCTATGAAAGTGGGGCTTATACAGAGAATGACCATTGCTAGTGAGTTCTTGATTGAATGTTTCCGAGTTATTTATTTTTTATTTTTCAAATGCTTACCCATTTGACTGAAGCTGTTACACACCACAAAAATACATGTTTTTCTTTGCTGTTTTTGATTATTTGTGGTTTTGATTTAAGTTTTTATAGTTACTGGGTATCTTGGAGAATTGGGTTTTTTAAATTATCTTGTGTTAGATGGATGGAACAGCTTTGCCCTCTCTCTCTCTCTCTCTCTCTCTCTGCTGCTTGAAAACTAGGGCTTTTGGAGAACCTTGAATGTCAATGTAGGGTGAAAAAATTTTGGATGAAGAGGGCCCACTTTTTCATGCCTCTTGATCAAACATAGCTGTTTGGACTACCACTTTAGTGTTGAGAACTAATCAAAGTGTTGAGAGATTGAAATACAGAGAGGATTCATAACCACAAGGAGTAATAAAGCCTATTATTTTACCAATGTACTTCTCATTTTCATATTATTATAACCACAAGGAGTAATAATTAATTTTTCTCTATACATTTCTCTATGTTAATTTTTATATATAATTAAGGATTTATATATAATTAAGGATTTTGTGAATTCAGAAATTAGTAATTATAAAGAAGAGTGATTAGTAACTATGATTGATTTTTCAATATCATTTATAACTATGGTAGTTATATATGAAACATATCATTTATAACTATGATCTGCTCCATCATTTCAAAGAGATTTACAAAATTATAAAATAAAACTACCTTAATAAACCACTCCCCATAACAAAATAAGTTCAAATTTGATGTTGGCTAATTGATTCATTGCACCTATAAATTGATTCATTGAACTTATAAATCGAAGTAATATAAATTCATTCATTGATTCATTGAACCAATAGATTGAAGTAATATAAATTGATTCATTGAACCTATAAATCGAAGTAATATAAATTCATTCATTGATTCATTGAACCAATAGATTGAAGTAATATAAATTGATTCATTGAACCTATAAATCGAAGTAATATAAATTCATTCATTGATTCATTGAACCAATAGATTGAAGTAATATAAATTGATTCATTGAACCTATAAATCGAAGTAATATAAATTCATTCATTGATTCATTGAACCAATAGATTGAAGTAATATAAATTGATTCATTGAACCTATAAATCGAAGTAATATAAATTCATTCATTGATTCATTGAACCAATAGATTGAAGTAATATAAATTGATTCATTGAACCTATAAATCGAAGTAATATAAATTCATTCATTGATTCATTGAACCAATAGATTGATATGTATTTGTAATGTTTTGTGGGATTTGTATAATTTTTATGGATATATTTTTTATGTATTTGTAATGTTTGGTGGGATTTGAATTTTTTTATGGACATTTTTTATTACACCCAAGAAGGGGTGAGAGTTTAGTATTAATGTATTCATGTTTGGTGGGGATTTGAATGTTTGCGTACATTTTTTATTACACCCTGTAATGTAACTTCAGCGAAGACGAAAAACCTTTTTGTGAGGAGATGGTAACATTTATATCCTTTTTTGGTAGAAGAATACCCAACAATTAAGAGCTCTTGGATCAAGTTTACCCCTTTGATGAGAATGAATATGAGCAAATGACACACAACCAAACACTTTAGGAGGTAGGTGGTTTGTGGTTCGGAAATTTGGAAAGGATGTTGAAATAAGTTGCATAGGAGTTTTCTGATCAAGGACTCGAGAGGGTAACCTGTTATTTACTGTTTTCGTTACACCCTGTAATGTAATGGACAGGTTTGATTTAATTTCCTGTTTTGATTACACCCTGTAATGGAGAAAATACACTTATTCCCTATTTTCATTACACCCTGTAACGGACAGGTTGAACATAATCATAACTATACAAAGTGCACAACATAACCATACAAACTGATTACACAGATTAAACAGCTCTGCTGGACAAAATGAACAAAATAACCAAGTTCCATTACATAACCATATAACCATACAAAATTAACAAGTCCAGTTAACCATACAAAGATATAGTTTACCTAACCACATAACCATACAACCTGCCACTAGCTGCCATGGGTCGCAAAAATTACAAAAATATTACATTTTTATAACTAACACGATCCCAATTACAAGCAAGATACACAACCCATAAATACGACTCGAATTTTGATTTATGTCTGTTTCCAACTTAAGCATCTTCGCCTTCATAAATTGCAGTTCTTCGCTTTGAAAGCGAAGTTGTTCATTCATAAGTCGAAGTTGTTGTTCGGTGACAGTTGACATATTTTCCATTTGCACTAGTCCTTCACGTCTACCTTGTGAATTTGTAGGCAAGCACCATCCCATAAAATCGCCGCAATTTTTACAACAATAAAATAATTTGTTTCTGTTAGGAAGACCATTAATTCGAACCTTGAACTCATCATACTCGCGCTTCACCCGTCTGCGATCCTTCACAAAGTCAGTTTTCACCTTATTCTTATAAGGATCTCTCTTCAAACTGAAATAACTTTCCGGATTCCTTGGCTCAATATCATGTTTCCGGCAAAATGGGACCCACAAGTTGGCGAAACTTGCAGCTTCAGCCATTGCCTCAAAGGTTAGAAGAGCACCACCGTCATCAGAAACATAACAAGAAAGCTTCTCTACGGGGTAATTGGCCGCTAGAATTGAGAGTATGGTGTTGGCAGTGACAAGAGGTGGTTCTTTCTCGGGGTCTGCAGTGGAAACAAAGATGTCTATGCCAGGAAGGTCTGATTTTCCAGTGGGGTTGAGGGGACCGGGGGTTTCAAACTTTTCTTTTAATACATTAAGATCAGTAGCGCGATTCACAGGGCAGAATTTCGGAAGCTGGTCCAGTAGCCATGAGATTGCAAACCAAACTTCGCAAATTACAGACATTAACCACAACCATGGTGCATCATTATTGGGGTTGCGGATCCTCCATGCAAGAAATAATCCGAGAACAGCTATCCGGACAAATATTAGGAGCCTGTATGCATATGGCAGTAAAATGAAGACTAATTTCAGCATGCCCTTTCACTCGACATTCCCAATTTAAAAACAGACACAAACTTCTCAGTCATCATAATGAATGATATGCCACATTCAAAGGAAGGGGCAAACACAAAACACAATATAGAAATAGACAGTTAAGAATGTAGCAAGCACAATCTTGGAACTTATTCAATATAGCAGCCAAGTAATCAACTTATTGTTATTTGTTAAAAAAAAACACTAAACTGACAGGGATAGCTTGGGAAATTTTGGGTCATGAGAGGAAGATAGAAGCCAAATACATGAAAACCAATTGTTATGCTTCAGATATCAGACAAGGTGACTGAACAAGCCAAATAAACCATGCCAAATAGAAAGCGCAACCACAAATAATAATTTGAGCATCAAAAGATGGTTCAAGCAAGCATGCCCAGTCATCTAGTTAAAGTTATGAACAAGTCAACAAAGAAAAGTAAGCACCACCACATAGCGTGATCAAGTATTTGTATATCAGGAAGCAAAGCAAAAAAATGCACTGTCAACTTGTCAAGTGGGATTCACAACAAAAAGAAATGAATTTTAACATTCAAACAGCATTTCTTAAGAATCTAATAAAACCATCTAAGTTCCAGAACTATCAATCCTTGCCAATTGGTTTTCATGTTTTTTTTGTATATCAGAGTTTTTCTAACCATCTAAAACCATCTAAGTTCCAGAACTTCAAGCTTTGTTAAATTGTTATCGAATATTGTTATCGAAAATCGAAAGGGAAAAATCGAAAAGAATGGAAAGGGAGAGAAACGAACTCTCTCTCTCTCTCTGTGGATTGTATATATGTGATTGTGGTGGATATTAGGTAGAAGAAGATGTTCAAGTTCCTAAAAGGAGTTGTTGGTGGATCTGGTTCTGGACCTAATAACCTACCCTATTATATCGCTGAACCTTATTGCTCCTCTTGGGGCTCTTGGGCTCACTCCCGCGGCTCCTCCAAGGTTATTCCTGTGAATTGTTGAGTTTTATCGTCAATTGTAGAGTTTATGTCATCACATTGGGATAATTGTATGAGTTCAGATCTTCGGCCGCGCTTTCCAGCAGCACTCCCCGCATCACTCCAAAACGACGTCGTTTTGGAGTGCTGCGGGGAGTGCTGCTGGAAAGCGCGGCCGAAGATCTGAACTCATACAATTATCCCAATGTGATGACATAAACTCTACAATTGACGATAAAACTCAACAATTCACAGGAATAACCTTGGAGGAGCCGCGGGAGTGAGCCCAAGAGCCCCAAGAGGAGCAATAAGGTTCAGCGATATAATAGGGTAGGTTATTAGGTCCAGAACCAGATCCACCAACAACTCCTTTTAGGAACTTGAACATCTTCTTCTACCTAATATCCACCACAATCACATACATACAATCCACAGAGAGAGAGAGAGAGTTGTTGTTGTTCGATCTGTGTTGTACTTGTAATGGCAGAGTGTAAATGTGGGAGGTGAGAGAATGTAATGGAAGGAGAAGGAGATGACGTAATATTTGCGGACCCAACAAGTAGGACAATGGTCAGCCTCTGAGTCAAATTTTTATCTTAATTCTCAAACTAGATCTAGTTTAGACAGATTTTTTAAATTAGACTAAAGCGTTATTACAAATCGTGCTTTTATTGTTTGAAGTAAAAAATTTGATGAATAGTAAAAGCGCTATTATAAAAAGTACTTTTAATTAAGAAAACGCCATTACGAGAGGAAGAGGGAGAGGGAGGAAGGAGGGAGGAGGGAGGAGGAGGAGGAGGAGGAGGAGGCTGCGAGCTCGCCGTCCTCGTCCCTCGCCGCCGTCGCAGCCGTCGCAGGTCGCAGCAGCTCCACCTCGTCGCAGCACCTGCGACCGCCGTCGCCTCCGCCTCCGACCCGTCTCCACCTCCTCCTCCTCCTCCCCTGTATTTATGGCCCCCTCCAGTCCGGCCCTTCCCCTCCTCCTCCTCCTCCCTCCTCCCTCCCTCTTCCTCTCCTTCCTCCCTCTTCTGCGTTTTTTTTTTTTTAAAATTTGCCCCTAAAATGACGTCGTTTTGGGGGCGACAGGGAAGGGCAACCGACGATCCATTCCCGGACAGTGGCTTCCGGCCTGCCTCATTCCTGCCTACGTCCCTGGTAGGGTGTGCAGTAGTAGGCATTTCGATCTGTTTAATTTAATTGAATTAAATTAATTTATTATACTTTAAACAGATACGTGATAATGAATGGACAATTAATTATTGATTTTTTAAGTCCGTCTAGTTTTAGATGAATGACGAATTAAAAATTTTTTTAGCCGTAACTAAATTTCAAAACTGCAAGCAATCTTAATAATTTGTAGGGTAAATCATAAATACACCTCCTGAGGTTTGATTAAAATACAATTCATCCCCTATGGTTTTGAAAATTACATTCCACATCCTGAGATTTCTAATTTCATAACAAATCGTTCCTTTTATTAATAACTCATCAAGTCAATTAACAGTTTTTAATGATATTAAAAATATATTTCAATTAATAATTTAGGTAATTTTATTATTATATAGAATAGTAATTATGAATTTTATTTTTTTGGTTAATTATGTTAAATAAATTTTTTTAATAAGGAGGTATTTGTAATTTTTCAAATCACAATAGACAATCTATATTTTAAGTAAATCTCGGGGGGTGTATTTGTAATTTATCCTAATTTGTAAGATTTTATATTTTCAATTTGTTTAGATATTCTATTTGTGTTTTTAATTAAAAAAGAGTTTAGATATTTTATTGTGTTTTCAATTTATTTTCAATTTAGAAATTTTTTTATCAAATGGCAAGGGTTGATATTTGATATTTTTGAATGAAAAATATAAAGCTTTAATTTTGTCATTTTTTTTTAAAAAAAATCAAATTAAATAATTTTGGAATTACAAAAAAAAAAAAGTAATGAAATAGTTTTGATAATGCATGATTCTCTTATATGTATTTATTATTGATATTTGATAATTTACTTGATGATCTTTTGGTTATGTTAAATTGGATTGTTATTCAAAAAAAAAATGTTCACAAATTGTTGTATTATGTTCAAACTTTGTAAAAGTTTAAATTGTCAAACCAATTCACATCCATCCGCTCAATCCGCATCCGTCAATTCGATGAACGAATGCGGATTGATTTTTTTCAATCCGCTCATCCGACGAACGGATGATAAATTAGAGAATCTGACCTCAATCGAACAACAAACACCCCTACACCATACTCGTATAGGACTCGATTCCAAACTTGCGCAGAGGATTTGACCAGTTTACTTTGTGTATATGGTAATAAATGTTATTTATATAAAAAAAAATTAATTTTATTGAACAATTATAAATATATAAATAAATAGTATTTTATTTTAAACAATTAGTCTTGAACGTCTGTAGTAAACGTATTATTTCTTAAAAAAAAATTTGATGATAAAATTTGTGTTAAAAAGAATAATTTTAATTTAAAATTAATATTATTTTAATTATTTATTTTGATAATATTGGTGCTATTATTTTACAAAATTGTTACTTGAATACTTACTATCATATATATATAATTATTAATTTTAGTTAAATTATTTGTGTATTTCTGATAATTTTAGTTATGTTGTATTATAAAAGTGTAATTATCATATAATATATTTTGTATAATATATGATTAATTATAAAATATAAAATAAATACTCATTTGGATATTAAAATAATAGTTAAATTAGAAGAAAAATTAGTAACGTAAAAATTAAAATTAATTCTACAACTATTTATTTTTTTTTTCATTTGAAAAATAAAATATGTAAAAATATAAATTATATAAAATTTATTAAAAAATTAAAATATAAATATGTTATAATTGATTACAGTATAAAGATTTTATATGATATATATTATAATATATATTAAATTATAAGATTGTAAAATAAACTCTTAGATTAAATTAAAATATCACTAAGAATAATAGTTAAATTAGAGAAGATTAGCAACATAAAATTAAAATTAATTCTAAACTATTTAATTTTTTTTATTCATTTGAAAAATAAAAATATGTAGAAATAGAAATTATATAAAATTTATTAAAAATTAAATATAAATATGTTATAATTGGGTAACCATATAAAGGATTTTATGATATACTATATTTATTATATATATATATATTAAATTATAAGATTATAAAATAAACACTCTTAATTAAATTAAAATAACAACTATATAAAAGAAATTCAGCGACTAACTAAGAAAAAATCACGTAACAACATTTAAACCCAAAAAGAAAAAAATAATGAAAACTTCCAAACAATAGATACATCTCAATGTGTGAAGTGATTAATCATCTATAATATGATATCAAAACATAAAAGAACTTACTGTTCAACAATTAAAAAAGTAACTCAAGCAGTAAATTCACAAATTTTAAAAGTTTCTCGAAAGTATCATTGTTGTGCAGGTTTTTTCTCCTTTAAGTTGTGATTATATAAAATAATATAGGAAATGAAGTATAATTTCATATATAGAATCACTATAAAATTTAAACGACAAATTTATAATATATAATTGGTATTAGGTATAGAATAATGCATGAAAAAATAAGAAGAAAAAAAAAAGAGAGGCAATTTAGCATAAAAAATCTTAATACCCTTGAAAGAATTAAGAGGAAAAACGTGAAATGCAAAATCAGTATTGGATTTGTAGATTATCTCAATTTACTATGAAAAATATATAGAAAAGAAATATTTGTCAAATAGAGTCCATATAGAATAAGTAAAATTTAAATTAGGTTTAGGTTTGTGTAAAACTCTATATATAATTAAGAAAATACATGCTGACGTAACTCTCTTGGAAAAAAAAGAAGTAAACCCTTATAATGTGTCACCTAAGCATTGAAAAAATCACTACTTTTAATAATATATATATGATAAATGGTTTAAGTTTATAATCACATTTGTCATTCATTTTATAAAACAAAATGTGTTTTTTTCTTATATTTACAAATGTGTGATGAAACTCATTTTTGTGTATATGATCTTTATTGCGAAACTTACGACATAAACGGTTTGGATCATCAGTATGAGTTTAGAATTGAACGCAATAAGAAGAGTATGAAAAGATATAAAGAGATAAAGTATGGAGGAAAGCCTATTTCTTCGTTCTTTATGTCTGTGCGACAAGAAAAATGATACAATAGAAGTCAAAAAATTAAAAATTAAGGTTTAATTACATCAATGATTATCAAATTAAAAAAAGGAAAATTAGACTGATCTTTTCTTTTTTTTTTTCTTTTTTGTAGTTTGAAGAAAAAATAATTTAGTGTATTTGGTTTCAGTTTTCTGAATTCAAATTTTTGAAAATTGAGTTTTTTATTTTTTTATTTTAAGTGGATATTTTTAATATTTTAAGCGATTTTTTTTTATTTTTTTAGATGCACCTTACTTAGATATATATAAATAGTAATATATTTGTGAAAAAATATTTTTAAAAATTAATAAATATACAAAAATATGAAAAATGTATTGAATTTTTTTATAATTTTTATATTTTTGGTATTTGGTGAATTTTTTTTCGCAAATATTATACTTTTTAAGTGTATTTATGTTAGATGTGTCTAAAAATTAAAAAAAAATGATTAAATATTAACAAAAATCAATGAAAACAAAAAAAATACGGAAAACCAAAAAGTAAAATTTTCTGAAAAATGAATTCTGAAAACGGAAACCAAACAGATTGTAGCACCATAATCTTGGTACAATTATACTAATTTTTTTTTAATAAAATTAAAAAAATCGAAACTAATATAAATAGTATGAATACATAGAGACAAATAAGAAAAAAAAAAATATGCATTCCATGTAAAATAGATAATAACATTATTTTTTATCCGTATGATTAATGAATTATTAATAAAAATTCAGTTAAATGTTATGTGAATTAAAACATTAAGAGAGTATAATGTAATTATGTCAAAATTATAAGATTCGTTGTATTTTCTCTAAACCTTAGAGGAGGTCAATGTAACTTATCAAAAAAAAAATACATTAATGATATAATGGCCTATTTTGGCAACATGAAATTTTAGTCAAAAAGACAAAAAAATCACTACAAAAAATTCAATTTTTCTCTTTATTTTGGGTAAATTACAAATATACCCCTTAAGATTTTCTTAAAGTACAAATCGCCTCCTGTGGTTTAGAAAATTACAAATACCTCCTTTTTAGAATTTTTTATTTAACAGAATTAACTAAAAAAATAAAATTCATAATTGCTCTCCTATACAATAATAAAATTATCTAAATTATTAATTGAAACATATTTCTAACATCCTTAAAAACTCAGAAGGTGGAATGTAATTTCCAAAACCACAAGAGGGATTCATATTTTA